TACTACGGAGCTGGGTGGGTCTCCGATGATTGTCTGACGGCCGCCCGTCGCCGCCCCGTGGCCGTCCGTGGCCGCCCGTGGCCGCCCGTGGCCGCCCCGTGGCCGCCCCGTGGCCGCGCCGTGTCCGCCCGTGGCCGCCCAACGTAGCTTGCAGCACGTATCTTGCACCGCACAGCTTGCACCGCACAGCGTGCACCACGTAGACTGCAGCACGGCAAGTGCACCACGTAGCATGCACCACACAGCTTGCACCCTCTAGTTTGCACCACGTTCCTCGCACCACGTGGCTTGCACCTTCTAGCTTGCACTACTTAGCCTACACACCATGGCTGACAACACATAGCGTTCACATCCATAACACAACAACAAACATCTTTCCCCACACAATGCTTGCACTTCGGGCTCCTTGTTTGTCAAGTAAGGAATTGATTAGGCATCCCGGATTTTCGCCATGATGCTGTCTAGTGGGCGCCTCGCGCATGGGGGGTATGCCGAGGTTGCGCAACGTCGCCGCCCGTGCCGCCTCGTGGGCGCCTGGTGAGCCTCCCGTGCGCTGGGTGGGTTTCTCGAGGTTGCGCCACGTTGCCGCTTGTGCCAACTGGTGGGCGCCCGGCGATCTGAGCTTGCACGACATAGCTTGCACCACATAGCCTGCACCGCATAGTTTTCAGTTTCACAGCTCACTCCACATAGCTTACACGAAATAATTTCCAACACATGACTCATTCTATCTCGCTTCCACCTCCACAGTGAAAATATTCACGGGTTGGGGTCCACGCTTGCTAATATATGTGCACATGATGTGTACAGACGTATAACCTATAATATACATAAACGTACATATACATACGTTTACATACATTTACGCATCTATATACATATGTATACATGTGTACATATATGTATATGCATATGCACACGGTCTACAAACTGCCAGCCGCGCCAAAGCGAGGATCCGGACTGGTACAATCCACCACTACGTGCGCAGATCTTGTGTTTGAGTACTTCAAACGAATGAGCGCGGCGACGAACGGATAGCCCCATTCTGAAAACGACCATCCCTCCACCCGTGTAACTGTTTGATGTTTCAAGCTTCAAGGCCGCAGCCGGTGAGGAAGACTCAGTCGACATTGTCGGCCCGCCCTGACGACATGCTGGTGGTGCGGCAGGGGTAAGTTACTTAGACGGAAAAGAGATTGAGGTAAAGACGGGGTAGGGAGAGGAGTACGCCGTGATGCGAGGACGAGCTGAAATGATCACCCTCCCTTTCCCTCTCCCTGCCTTTTCTTCATTAGTGTATGCTCCTACCTTGCCACCTGGTCGGCCGAGAAAGGGTTCCATCCGGGCCATTCCGTCATACCTGCGAGACACAATGCGACGTGGAAGTTTCTCTGTCAAAATGGACGCTTTGGCGGCGGCATGGCAAAGTTCGTGGCAGGAGTGGGATGGGGCACACATCCCGCGAGAAAGGGCGAAATATCGCTCTCGCCTCGGGGCCTCGCTCGTGTTCCCTGCGAGTTGAGCTTCTGCTTGGGAGCGGCACGTGTTTCGCACGCCAATTCGTCGACGCGCGAGCAGAGGAAAATGCCGCTCTCGCTTCGGCGCTGCACGTACTCAGCCTGATGAAAGTGGCGCTCCCGCCCCGGCGCACACTTTCACTCGCTACGTTCTGGGGTCCCGCGCGGGCGGGCGACTCGTCGCCCTGGCCCAATCTCCGTGCACATTTCGCTTGGAGCTGGCGTTCCCGCGTGGGCGTGGCGCATGTCTCGCTCGCCGAATCGTATGAAGGCGGCAACGGCAGCGGGGCCTCGCGAGACCGGGCGAACTGTTGTCCTCACCCAAGCGCCCCACGATTTGTGCGCGAGTGTGGCACTAGTGCCCCACCACTCTCATGGGAGATTGGGCCGCCAGGTACAAGGCCAAATTGTGCTCCCGCCCCAGCGCCGCGCGAGGACCTCCTGAAGTTCGACTCCCTCCTCTGCGCGGCCCGCGCAGCTGTCACGTCGCTGCGTCGTCGGAAGCGGGAACACGTGCGAGCGCCTTCCGTTCGCTAGTTGGGAGCGTGTTCCGATCCTAAGGGGGGAAGAGGAGGAGGTGGTGAAGGAGGAGGAGGAGGAGGCGGAGGATGACGATGAGGAGGAGGAGAAGGAGGAGGACGAGGAGGAGGACGAGGGGGAGGCGGAGGAGGAGGAGGAGGAAGAGGAGGAGGGGGAGGAGAAGGAGGAAGAGGAAGAGGAGGAGAGGAAGGGGGTGCGGGAGGGAGGGGACGACGACGACGACGACGACGACGACGACGACGACGACGACGAGGAGGAGGAGGAGGAGGAGGAGGAGGAGGAGGAGGAGGAGGAGGAGGAGGAGGGAGGAGGAGAGGAGAGGAGAGAGGAGGAGGGGAGGAGGAGGGAGGGAGGAGAGGAGGAGGAGGAGGAGGAGGAGGAGGAGGAGGACCATCAGGAGGAGGAGGGGGAGGAGGAGGAGGAGGAAGAGGAGGAGGAGGAGGAGGGAGGAGGAGGAGCTGGAGGAGGAGGAGAAGGAGGAGGAGGCACATTTGGTCCTCATGTTATGTTGAGGGAGGGAGAGTGGGACTGTGTGCGGCCCGCGGACTCGTTCGACCTGGCTGACCTGACTCAGGCTCCCACTCTAGCTCTCGTTCCTGCCACTCCTCCCTTTCTTCTCTTCATCCTTCTGCCACCCCCGAAACGTTCAGGACCTCCCCGAAGCCTGCAAAAGCCCCTAAGCACTCCCTAGGACCAGAACCGTCTCCATGATGACCAGAACACCTCCCTTTCGCCCCTCCTGCCCGACCCTTCCTCCTCCCCCTCCCTCTCCCTCTCCTCCTCCCCCTCTCCTCCTCTTATTCTTCCTCCTCCTGCCCCTCCCCCTTCTCCTCCTCCTCTTCCCTCTTCTCCTCCTGCTCCTCCTTTGCCCGTTCCTCTTCCTCGCCTTGACAAGCGCCGTCTTGATATGACCCTGGATCGGGGGCAGAATCAGCGTGGGAAGTGTGAAACAGACATTCTGCTCACCATCTCGAACAAAGCACAGAGATAAGCCTCCTCGAGGGGGAAGCCTGCCACCACTGGTACTTTTCAAACGAAGAGGTGGCCATGGCTGAGGAAGCGACGACCAGGACAAGGAGGAGGAGGAGGAGGAGGAGGAGGGATTAGGAGGATGAGGATGGATGAGGATAAGGAGTGGCAGAGAAGTTGAGTGTGAAGACGAGGCGCGAGGAGAGCTAGGGTGGCCCAAGCATCGGGCGGCTCGACATGTCGTAACGTGGCCCCTGGACTGTGGATCCCGTCTCCGCCGCCGGCTTTCCCTCCTGAGCCGTCTTCTGACCTTAGCTGCCCCGATACGCAACACGCAACACGTATCGTATTGATACGGAGCTCAACACGTAGGCTGAAAGCGTAGGTCCGACGCGATACACTCGCCAAAACGTGGTCCAATACGTGGAGCCAACACGCAACGTATTGACACGAACGTCTTGAACACGGGACGTGTTGCGTTTCAAAGCGGGCGTATCGAGGCAACTAAGCTTCTGACGATCTTGGGGACAAACGCGCTTCCTGGACATCGAACAAACACGCTGGAGGAGGAGGAGGAGGAGGAGGAGGAGGAGGAGGGACATCGGACAAATCAAGGTCTGGCGGAATTCCCTCGAGCCGCCAGAGGTCTGGGGCCCCCCCGCTCCCAGGCACGCCAGCGGGACCCGCTGTCCTTGGAGCCCCCTCTCGCACCCCCTCTGTCGCCTGGTCAACCGGGCTCTATCGGTATGGCCGGGGGGGGTGTCAAGGAGGAGGAGGAGGCGGCGGAGGAGGAGGAGGAGGCGGAGGAGGATGAAATGGAGGAGGAGGAGGAGGCAGAGGGAAGAGGAGGAGGAGGAGGAAGATTGGGGAGGAGGAGCGAGAGGAGAAAGCTGCTATCGCCGCTGTAATACGATCACCTGACGCCCCATTTCAGCGAAGGCGGCAAGGATATCGCATCGGCGTTCAAATGTTGAAACGGCCCTTTGGGGTGATGCCGGGCTCGCGCTAAGGCGAGCGCGGCGGGCTACCTAGTTGACACCGATGCCCCCCTTCCTTCTCACTCCTTCTTCTCCCTGTGCACTGAACAGCTACGCATTATGAATGCAGCTCTCATCTCTCCCTTGACTCTGTTTATCTTCGGCCCTATCCGCGTTTCTCTCCGCAAGTGACTCAGAGCATTGTTTTCCTGATGCGTTTGTGCAATGCGATCGTTTTCGGTGCTTCGAATGTCTGCTCCCGCTGCAGTGTGGGCCTCACTTTCGGGTCGGCGCTCTGCTCCCGTCGTTCAGAGAAAGGCGCCCGCCCCAGAGCGGGCCACTTTTCAGGATCCGAGTCCTTTATCATCGCTGTCGCCCCACTGATTTCCGTCGCCCCACTCATTTCCGCTCCTTCGCCTGCTCCTGGTCCTCCTGCTCCTCCCACTCCAGCTCCTGCTGCTGCTGTTCATCCTCGTCGTCCTCCTCCTTCTTTTCCTCCTGCTCATCCTCCTGCTCATCCGCCACCTCCTCCTGCTCCTCCAGTGCACGCAGCTCCGATTTTTCCGATTGCGCATTACGCGATGAGGTCCTCTTTGGAGTTCTGGGTCCGCTATGACAGGCGTCCGCTGATATTTAAAGACAAACCGACGCGATGGGAGGGGATGGGTGGGAGGGGTAGGTTGTCAGATATGGCGTGAGCGCATCTAGCTTGCCTCCCCTCCTTCTCCCTCCTCCCTCCTCCTCCTTGCCCTCCCCCCCTCTACTTGTCCCTCGCCCTCCACCTCGCTTACCCGCCCTCTCCTTCTCCCTCTCCCTTCTCCTCTTCGGCCTGCTCCTCGTCCTGTGCCTCGTCCTATTCCTCCTCCTCCTCCTCCTCCTCCTCCTCCTTCTCTTCCTCCTCCTCCTCTTCCTCCTCCTCCTCCTCTTCCTCCTCCTCCTCCTCCTCCTCCTCGTCCTCCTCCTCCTCCTCCTCCTCCTCCTCCTCCTCCTCCTCCTCCTCCTCCTCCTCCTCCTCGTCCTCCTCCTCCCCGCTGGGCGCGTCCGTCAGTGCGCCGGGGCCTGCACCGCGAGGAACGCCGCCACCGCGGACGCGTAGCACGGCAGCAGCGCCAGCGCTGGGAGCCGGGGTCCGTCGATCGACCACCGATCGTGCTCGGTCGATCGACCATCGATAGGCCTTGATCCTCCTCCTCGTCCTCCTCCTCCTCCGCCCTCCGCCTCCGCCCTCCTCCTCCTCCGCCTCCTCCCCTCCTCCTCCTCCGCCCTCCTTCTCCGCCCCCCTCTCTTCTGCTCCTCCTCCGCCCCCTCCCTTTCTCCTCCCCCCTCCTCCTTCTCCTCCTCCTCCTCCTCCATCTCCTCCTTCTCCCTACTCCTCCTCCTCCTCCTCCTCCTCCTCCTCCTCCTCCTCCTCCTCCCTCCACTCCTCCTCTTCCGCTTCCTTCTCCTCCTTGTCCTCGTCGTCGTCGTCGTCGTCGTCGTCGTCGTCGTCGTCCGTCGTCGTCGTCGGCGTCGTCGCCGACCTTGATATCCCCAGGCCCTCGATCGACCATCGAGGGCTCGAGGATCGGGTGCCGAGGTCTTCCCAGCGTCTGTCGTTCTTCGTGGGCTGCTGGGGGGGGGGCACCTCGTCGCCCCCGGCGGTGTTCCCTTTGAACTTCCGGTCAGGCTGCATCCATTTTTTCTTGCTGGGGGGAAGAAACACAGAACAACAAACTTCACTCCGGGGGGGGGGCAGGCCCGGGGCTCGACTTCCAACGCCCGAGTCCAAATCACGCTGCGCAAGGAGACAGGGCAGCAATGCCACGCTCTGGCAGCCTTCGGCTTCCCGGGGGTCCGTGGCCGGGGCCGGGCCCAAAGGACAGCAATAAAAACATCGCTCTGGACGAAGCGTCCGTCGCGGGGAAATGCGTCGAGACCTCTCGGCGTCTACGACGACGTCGGGGGTCTGGAAGATACAGTGGGCACTCCTCCTCCTCCTCCTCCTCCTCCATTCCTGCTCCTTGTGAATAATTTCTCCCTGTCGCACCACGAGGCTAGTCTTTAGGGCGCCCGGCGTTTCGCCTGAGACTTCCTCACCATTTATGGCCCTGAAGCTTAAACATTGGCAAGAGTTTCACAGATGGAGGGCGGGTGGTTTTCAAAATGTGGCTCTCGCCTTCGCGCCGCGCACATTCGTAATCAAAATTTGCAAGAGTTTCACGCGTTGAGGGCGGGTTGTTTTCATAATGTGGCTCTCGCCTCAGCGCCGCGCACATTCGTTTTACAAAATTGAAAGGGTTTAACGGATTGAGGGCGTGCCGTTTTCAAAATGTGGCTCTCGCCCAATCGCCGCGCGCATTCGTTTTACAAAATTGCAAGAGTTTAACGGATTGAGAGCGGGTCGTTTTGAACATGTGGCTCTCGCCTAAGCGCCGCGCGCACTCGTTTTAAGCATTAGCAAGAATTTCACGGATTGAGGGCGGGTTGTTTTCAAAATGTGGCTCTCGCTTCAGCGCCGTGCACATTCGTTTTCAAAGTTTGCGAAAGTTTCACGGATTGAAGGCGGTTCCTTTTCAAAATGTGGCTCTCGCCTTAGCGCCGCGCACATGCTGGATACAACATTGCAAAAGTTCCACAGATTCCCACGATCGACGTACCAGAAACTGTGTTTTGGAAGGATCCACGAGTTTGAGGGCGCAACAGTTAGGATGACTCGCGGAGTTGAGGTCCCAAGAATGGCCTGCTGGCACGATTCAAGATCGTCAAGACGCAACACTCAGGTTCATCTGTGGCGTTGGAATGCAGAGAATAATGTTCTGGCATGCTTCAGGGTCTTCAAACGGATGTCTTCCAACGAGGCCAGTCCCTATGTGGAAACGAACCGTTGTAGGGGCCTATGAAGAGGGAGCTTGGGGGGAGGGTTTATTCCAACATCTTTGGTGACTCTTGGGTTTGCACTGGTCCTCCTCCTCCTCCTCCCACTTCCTCCTCCTCCTCCGCCTGATGAAAGATCCTGCTATAACAAATCCAGGGGCGCATCCTTCGTCGACACCTTGAGCTCCGTGAAGTGCCGCAGGGCTTTGCGGGCCCACCGGGGGATAAGAAGTTATCGTGGTGCACGTGCTAGCAGGCGAATCCCACCAGTTCTCTGGGCGTGGATAGTTTAAGGAGCTCGTTCTGTTCACCCCCTTCTTCCACTTCGGGGAGGGGTTCCCCCCCCACTAGCCTCTCCCCCTGGGTCCGGAGGGCAGGTTTCGCGAGGGGTTGGAGCGTCCAAGATAGTTCAAGATGGCTCCAAGAGTGCACCAGTTAGCCCAAGATGGCCCCCAAGATAGCTGAAGATAGCCTACGAGGGTTTAATACAGCCTCCAACATGCCTACAAGAGCCTTCGTGATCGCTCCAAGACGGCTCCAAGAGGCCATGGAGCTTCCCAAAGAGTCCTCCGAGAGGCCCAACTCCTCCCAACACTTAAGGCAATCATTGATTTTCAATTCTCGCCTGTTTTTTGCCGATCGGCTTTGGAGGCCTCAAGATGGCTCCAAGATGGCCGAAGAGAGTTCTAAGAGGGACCCAAGATGGCCAAAACGGCTCGAAGAGCGCCAAAGAGCGCCCCAAGAGGGCCCCAAGAGGTGGCTTTCAGGGCCCCGAGGGGAGGTCATTAATTCGCGCCGCCCCTTTCTGAATCAATGGCCTTCAAGGAGGCCCAGACAAGGTCTCCAAGGCCTCCAAGAGGTCTTCCACTCCCCCCCACTTCTCCTCCCTCCACACCCCGTCGAGACCCCCTCCTCCATTGGCGAGTGCTTCTGGGTGGGCTGGAGAGGATTCGCGAAGCGTTACGAGTGTCTTACTTGGCGTGCTGCCTGTAGGGAGGGTCGGGAAGAGAGGGCAGCAAGGACCACCGAGGCCCGAAATACAATTATCTGTTTTCTTCGGGTGCCGGGAACCCGTTTCGAGCCACGTGGCCGGCAGGCATCAATCGGGGATTGCAGACTGGTCCAAGTGAACCCTGGGCGGGGTCCGGGGACCGATTTTGAGCGGATGAGGGTGAGGGAGGAAGAGGAGAAGCAAGATGGCAAGGAGGAGGAGGAGGAGGAAGAGGAGGAGGAGGACGACAAGGAGGAGGAGGAGGAAGAGGAGGAGGAGGAGGACGACGAGGAGGAGGAGGAGGACGACGAGGAGGAGGATGAGCTGGGCGAGGTCCAGGGACCGATTTTGAGCGAATGGAGGTGAGGGACGAGGAAGAGGAGAAGCAAGACAAGGAGAAGGAGGAGTAGGAGGAGAAGAAGGAGGAGGAAGAGGAGGAGGAGAAGCAAGACGAAAAAGAGGGAGGAGGACCAGTGTAAACCCAAGACTTATCAACAATGTTAGAATACACCCTCTCTCCGAGATCCGATTTCATAGGCCCCTACCAGAACTGCCCCGTTGAGGGACAACCGTGGGAACATCTTGAAGCGTGCCAAAACACCGTTCTCAGGACTTCAACGCCACGAATTAACTTGACTGTTACGTCTTGGCGATCCTGAATCGTACCAGAACGACGTTCCTGGGACTTCAAAACCTCGAAATGACGTAACTGTTGCGCCCTGGCAATCTGGAATCGCTCCAACACACCATTTCTGGATCGTTCAAACTGCGAACCAATTACAATCTTTCAAACTTTTAGAATGAATGAGCGCGGCGCTACGACGAGAGCCACATTTTGAAAACGACCCACCCTCAATGCGCGAAGCTCTTGCAAATTTAAAAACGGATGTGCGCGGCGCTAAAGCGAGAACCACATCTTGAAAACGAGCCGCCCTCAATCCGTGAAGCTCGTGCAAATTTAAAAGATGCATGTGCGCGGCGCCACGGCGAAAATCACATTTTGAAAACCACCCACCCTCAATCCGTGAAGCTGTTGCGAGTTTAAAAACGCGCATGTGCACGGCGAGAGGGTGAAAACCACATTTTGAAAACGACCCGCCCTCAATCCGTGGAGCTCTTCGAAATGTTTGAAACGAATGTGTGCGGCACTAAGGCGGGAACCGCATTTTGAAAAAAAAACGGCCCAGCCTCAATCCGTGAAGCCCATGCAAGCTTCTAAAACAAACGTGCGCGGCGTTGAAAAGAGAGCCACATTTCGAAAACGACCCACCTTCCATTTGAAACTGTTGTCAATCTTTCAGCATCAGGGTCATAAGTGGTGAGGAAGTCTCCGGCGAAACGCCTGGCCCGCCCTTTCGACCGGCCTCGGGGTGGCAAAGGGACAAATTGTCTACAAGGAAGAGGAATGGAAGAGGAATGGAAGACGAGGAAGAGGATGAGGAGGGGGAAAGGTTGAAGGCGCAGGATCGGGGGAGTGAGGGAGAAGGGATGATAGGGAAGTGAAGGAGTAGAAGGATTGAGGGTCGAGGATTTGGTTCGAAAGATCGAGGTTCGAGGGAAGGGAGGGAGTAGAAGGATCGAGGGTCGAGGATCTGGTTCGAAGGATCTAGGCTCGAGGAAAAGGAGGAAGTAGAAGGATCGAGGGAGTAAAAGGATCGATGGTCGAGGATTGGGAGATTCTTGTTCGGTGTTTGTTCTTGGTTTCTGCGACATGGGGGTGGACAGTGCCCCGTTCCTCCTAGATTGTTGCTTTTGCTTGATGCTTTTGGTAACGTATGTGTTTATACATGCTTGTACATCTGTCAATATGTGTATATACATGTATGTATGTACGTGTGTATATATATATATATAGAAATGTGGTGCATGTGTGTGTCTCTCTATATACATGTAAGTATGCAAGTTCCCCAAACAATGCTTGCACTTAGGGGCTCTTCTCTCTGTTCTGAGGAACCGGGCCGTGTCTCCGGCCTGGCGGCTATGCGGGCGCTGTCGCCGCCTCGTCGCCGAACGTCGTTTGAGCCGTGTCTTCGGTCTGGCGGCCGTGTGGCTGCCGTCGCCGCCCCGTCGCCGCCTCGCACAACTCTCGTTTCTAAACGGAATATTGGGGTAAATCCCCCCCATTGGGATTTACCCGCCCCCCCCCCCCCGATTTAGCCGCACCCCTTTTCGTATTGCAATATACATGTGATTCTTGCCCATCGCCCATCCTAAAGATGAGCTCGAACCATCCCAGCCAGGCGGGTCTCGACCCCCCTCGTATCCTCTGTC